AACAAGTGAAAGCCTATAAGGGTTTCCAGTAATATCAAATTAGAGCTCTTTATTGACTGAAAAACTTCTTCTTAATCATTGAATGACAAAGAGATTAAAAGACTTCTGTTGAAACCTGCTAATACGCCAATTTTCTAACAGGTATCATTCATCTGTTGCAAAAAGTTGTGTTAATTATGAACATTTAAGCCGGTGTTGCTTAACTGCTAAATTAGCATTTTAGCAAAACTTATAAAGCAAATTCAAATTGTTATTTATTTTATTCAGTATTACAAAAACAGAATGAGCAACTGTCGATTGTAACCTTTTCCGCTATAGACAGGGAAAAAAAAAAAAAGCAAATTTTTTTGCTTGCAACAAAGTTGTTTAAATGAGAAAGAAATGCACGAATTTCATCTGATCGGTATACTTTTTCTTCCATACTTTTTTTTTACAGCAAACTACAATAGTATCTGGATGCTTAATGTTGATTTCCTGAATTCTATGGTCTTCAAAGAGAAAAAAATGACAAAGCGGAACTGAAAATAAACAAAAAATTTGTTTGAACAAAGTTTTAAGTCCATAAAATTATTGATGCAAACTTCTTTTCTACCAGCTCCACCAACACCAACTAACTGGTCGATCATTACAATCAACAAACAAACAAAAAAAAAAAAAAAAGGAGAAGGAGGAGAAGAGGAAAAAAAAAAAGAAGGAAGAAAACAAACTTATAAAGCTGCTCATTATGCGTTTGCACCCTCTTTTTTCTTTCTACTTTCCTTCTTCACTGTCCTTACTTTTTCTTTTTTCCAGAAGACTTATACAAACTAAAACGTTAACAGCCAGAAAAAAAAGAAGCACCAACTTGTTGGTAATATGTGTGGTCATTATTACCAGAAAACCGCTTTTCCTTCATAGTTGTTTTACCACCTAATGTTTTAGTGATTGATGATTTAGAACTGAACAACTGAAAAATGTTTCAAGGAAATAACTGTTACATGTTTTCGTCCTCGTTAACAAACCGTTTCAATAAAGTACTACGAAAAACAAATAAATGACTGGAAATCTTGGTTTCTGTAAATAAATGATATAACCGCTGATCACAATTACGATAAGATAATTTACAATTCTGATGATAAAAGATGTTTTGTACGGTATTTTATCCTAACCTCATGCAGAATACGGTAGATAATGTGCATGGACAAAACCGCGCAATAAATTTTAAAAATTATACATTTTTTTGGTTATTCTGACTTAATTTTACTTGATTTTTTTCTATCCAAATTTGGTGACTTTTTTCGTCATTTGTTAAAACTATTTCATTCCTTAGAAATACGTGTAGAAAATCATGTCTGAAAAAATTGTGCGATTAATAAAAGTTAAAATTAGCGTAATTTGATTGTTGACTGGAAGCAATTATTCTCCTATAAATATAACATCTCTAAAAGTTTAAATAAAAATTGTATCTCCCTCTTTAAGTAAAGACAAAAGTTTACAATCTTCATCTGTGGTATCACCCATGTATATTTTTGAAAAGTCAGTAAATTCTTCAACGGCTTTCAGATGTTAATCAAAAAAAGCTACGAAGAGGCTTAATATAACTTCGAAACAAATAAAAAAGTATATCCAATATAAACGCCTGTACCATAGATTTTTGTATGAAAGAGCTGCTTTTGCTTTCTTCAAATATTCAACAAAAAATATCTGTTCAACTAACAATTCTCTTAAAATGGGCTCGACAGCCTGCATAATTATTTAGCTGTAAATAATGTAAAAGTAATAATTTAAAGTTCCAGTTGGCGTTCGGCCATATTTAACCAGTTGTGCCGCGTTTTATTAGCACTGTAAAAAGTGTTTTTGTTGATCTTCTGGTATGCTTCATTTGAGGGTTTTCACACTTCGAATTCGCTTAAGGTTACGTTGTGGGATGAGGTTTTGTGAACCTTTTAAAACATCTCAATTGGGTTATAATAAATTTGTGTTTTTAGTGGCTAGTTTTAAATGTTGCGGAGGTGTAGTTATTGACCGAAAAAAAGGTGTTGTGTATATTGAGCAATGCTGTAAACTTAGTCTTATTTGGCAGTTGCAGAAAAGTGGAAGAGCAGGGGAGTAAGCTATGGGCTGAGAAAAAGTTCAATACCTTATCGTTAGTACAGTCCTTTCTTTATTGGGAAAATCAGCATTGTTTAAGTAGCGTTGGAATCTTTAGTAAAATTTAGGCTCTGTGATCTTTCTGTCTCTGTAATGTTAGTAACTGTTTCTGCCGAACTGATTATAGTTTTTGCTTTTCTAACACTTTGAAATTTGTAACTTTCTTTTTTGAACAGTACAGTTCATTTTATTGCTGTAGTGGTAAGCGTTTTAAAGTCTCAAGGTGCGTTGTTTTTTCCCTCTGTAAAGTGTCGTATTTTATGAGATTATTTAAAGTGAGCTAGAACTTTGTATTTTTGCAAGTCAGTTTGGGACTTTTGCATTAGCTAAGGGAATTTTACTTTTAGTAGAATGATTTTAGAAAAGGATATTTTAAAATGCTGTCAAGCGGTGTAGTGAAAGGTTTGTGTTGCTGATGAGCTTTTAGGAAATCATCCGATTATAAATGCGTGCTTAATGAATTACCAAAAAGTTTATAACTAATCATATTTGGTTCATTGGTTCGGATTGGTTCAGGAATCATTTTGTTTTTAGCTAATGAGAGTGTGAAAGCAAAGTATGTTTACAACCTCAGCGTAGTTGTGATGCTACGGGTGTGGTTAGATAATATTTCTTTTTTTATTTCGTTATTTTTGGTATGAATCAATTATTAGTTTTCGCTGTCTCCTTAGAGTCTTTTTTTTTTTTTTTTTTGAAGACGAAGAAGCAAAGATTTTTACTCATTTTAGTATTCATTTTTAATCGCTGGCGTCACAGGTATTAAAAGTGATTAGTATTTTTATGCCTTCTCCATTATATTAGCAGAAAGAATTCGATTAGTAAGAACCAAACGGGTAGTTAGCCGGAGACATCGCAGCAGTCATTCCGGTAATGGACCTAAAATAGTATGACATCGAGGAGCTTGTCATCTTTTTTGTTGAAGGCAGTCTTTGAATTAGAAAGAAAAAAAGCTTTTTTAGGCTTGTAGTAGGCTTTTGTTAAGAGAGCAATGTGTGGGACCCCAAAAATTTTGATATTCAAAGTTTGTTGTTTAGTCGGCCCATCAGTAGAGCTAGTGATTTGGGTCTCAATTCGTTATGTGTATCTGTAAATTATTCCGTAAAAATTTAAATAGCTCTTGGACATTGGGACGTTACTTTGTCTTGTCAATGTTTTAAATGGAAGTATGTCTTAGTAGTATATTTTGAAGAGTTATTTTTATTTGTTGACCAGTTATATAGCTACGCGTCGTCTGGGGAGTTAATGAAGTATTATAGGTTTTGCGGCTGAAAAGAAGGCTTATTCCTGTGCATTTGATACCTAATCTTTGTCGTTTGTTCTAACTTCAGAAAGAATCATGGGACGAAGACCAGGAAGTACAACAAAATCTGGCAGGTTTATGAACCCTGCTGATCAGGAGCGCAAAAGTATGAGGCAAAGGGAATTGAAAAGGAATAAAAAGCAGAGAAATATGGTGCGTCAGGCTATATTAAAGAGCAAGGATGTGGATGAAATACTTGAAAATCTTTCACGCTTAGACGATCAAGGTTTTTGCATTTTCATTTTCTAGATTTCATTGTTGGTGTTTTTCTCCTCCGTTAATTTTCGTTGCGAATATTGCTATTAAAACTTTTTACAGCAGCTCTTTTATTAGAGAAAGCTGTTGGTGTTACTTTCGCATAAATCACAAATTTAGAAAATCTTTTCTTTCAGAATTCGATATACATACGGAACATCACAGTAAATATGTGTTTAATGAGAAAAGAGCTAAGTTTAAGCAGACATATAAAGAAGTTATAAATATGTATAAACAAGAGAAGAGGGAGGATAAGGTTAAGGAGTTGGAGCAGAAAATGAAGAACTATGAGTCGGAAAGAGCCAGGAAAATTCAACAATACAGTAAGTTTGCTTCCACTTTTAAATTTCATTTATATTTACTTTCTTTTTGTAATGAAAACGCTAAACTTTTAGTTCTGTAATTCTAATTTGCGCTTGTTAAAATATAGTTTTAACTCATTTTGCTTTCCTGAATCAAATTTTTCTTGCTATGCAAATGTTTTAGATGCTTTACGGTTTTCGTTGGAAGCTAATCCAGTCGAGATTCCACTGCCGGACGGAGCATCACAACCAAATGCTGCGATGACTCCCGCACCTTCAATCCCTTCTCAGTTTTTAATGCCGCAAGCTCGATCTGGAATTTTGAAACATCCGAGGCCTCGTGATGAGGTAGAAAGAGGAGAACCTCCTGGACCACCTTGTGGTTTGGCGCCATCTTTCGGTTCTGCAGATAATGATGCGGATTATGTTGCTCCTCGAAGAAAAGTCCGATTTGTCGACAGTGAAGAAGATAATGCGGAAGCAGCAGCTGTACCTGATGATGAAGACCTAGCCCCCGTTGAAAGTCAGTTTTCTTTTTAGGATTTTTTGTTGTAACTCACTGGTCATTTTTCGTTGTTATTTTCTGTTTTTTTTTTTTTTCAGTTCCAATTGATGTTGCCCAACAGTCATCTGCCGCTGACGAGGTACAGCCAGAGGCAGTGGTACCTATATTAGCTCCTGCTGTGCCGTCACAAACGTTGCTGCGTGCTCCGCCGATACCTCCAAATATGCTCCCACCTCCTCCTCGATTGCCTCTCAGAATGCCTCCACCTCCGCCTCATTTTCGTATGTCTCAATCCAATTTTTGTCATTCTTAACACTCTTATAAAAATTTTTTTTCAAAGAGTATAATAAAGAATTTTCTCAATTTCTTTAACTGGTGGTAATAGTGATTTATAGTCCTTTTCTTTATAAATAGAGCAGTTAGCAGCGTGTTAGTTGGTTTATTGTACTCATGCAAGAAAGTAATTTTTTTTATTGTGGTGTAAAATAGCAGAAGTTACGAGGGAAGAGTTGAACAGGATCTAGGACTGATAGAGGTTTTCAAAAAAGTGTGATGGATTTTAAAACGGCTTCTTAGCTCTGGAGATTGTTAAGAACTTTGTATTTCTAAATACAGATGGTTTAATCGAAGAGGCAGTTTCATTTTGGAGTCAGTTTTGCGGTTTCTAGATTTAGATATAGGGGTTTTTTGAGAGTTACTTAGTGCAGCAGCGGGTAAATGTTAATAGTATGAACTTTGATTTGCTCTTTGATTGAAGTAAAGTGTTATACTTATGAAACTTCTCATCACTGTAACTAGACTTATTTGCGGCCTGTTCACAGTATCTTTTTTTTAATGTGCACTACTGTTAAATTCGAGGAATGACTTTTCTTCCGGTACATGGTTGAAATTTAGTGATTTTCACTTAATGAATCGTTTGTTGACTCCATAGCAACATTGCTAAGCTTAGACTGCTACCTAATCAGAGCGATATAACCTAGTTTTAAGTATTTAACATTTTTGTAGTAAGGTTTGGGTACCTTTAAAATGGGTGATAAAACATTTAGAATTTTCATGTTCTCAGTCGAATGTATTATTGTTCAACATAGATTTTTTCATACATTTTATATATTCTGCTTCTTTTGGATTACGTTTTGTAATTTCTTCCCTCCTTTGATGCACATCTGAATTTCTTCCTTGTTTAACAACCAAGTTTGGTTTTATTTATTATTAGAAAAGGAAGTTTTTATAGCGTTTAGTGTATTTTGTACTATCAGATTTAGGCAAACAAAAATTTAAATATTTTTTAGCCCCACCTGGAATGCCTCCAATACCGTTCATGCCACCACCAGTGGGCGACTCGGTTATATCTGCTGAACCGATGGTCCATCGAACTGTGGATCGAACGGGAGGCGCGCTTAACAACAAACAAAAATCTGATGCTACAATATCTGCTGAGCCGAAGTTAAGGGATTTGGCTAAAGAAGTTACCAAGTTTGTGCCTACAGCCTTGAGAGTTCATCGAAATAAACCAGTCAACAAGCGACCTTTGAATAAGTACGTTTCTCCTTTCCATCTTGCAGAACTTTCAGTTTTTGTTAGTAGACCAACTTGTTTAGTTAGGTATTTTAAAAAATTATCTTCGCATTGAAAAATGAATTGCTCTGTCAATATTTCTTATTTTGGCAGTAGTATGAGAGAAGTTATTTTAGGTATAATATGATGGGAGTTCACGTTGAGTCTGCACAGCGCAAAGAGGCCAAGGATACCGACGAGGCTTATGCTGATTTTATGAAGGAAATGTCTTCTTTACTCTAGCCGAAATCCGCATTGTTTTGAACAACTCATTAATTTTTATTCGTTACTTTGTGTCAAGGTTATTTTATGGAATGAGGATAAAAACCTTGTTCGGTTTACAAAACCTACTGGTCTTTTTTAGTTATTATTGTGTTATAATCTTTTTTTGTTTTTATATTTGATACTACTTTTTGAAACTAGCTTTCAGCTGTACAAAAAACTGTCTCTTTTGTGTGGAGAATGATCTACATCGGTCAATTTTTTTTTGTTTTTCTTGATTTGGTTTCAGGCTCGAGTTTTCTAATGTTAATTCAATGTGAGTGTTTGTCAATGTGAAGTTATCGTTTAAATTAGGGGTAACTTTTAACGTCTTTTTTTTTTCACAAATTCTACATATTTGAAGATCTTTAAAGAATTTATTTTTTGTAGTGATTAGCTAAATTTTTCATTTTTAGTTTGTCATCGTTTATACCATCATTGTTAGAGTTTGAAATGGTATAAGTATAGTAAATTACTTTGTTGTTGTTCTGTCATCGTTGCTTTATTTGCTAGTCTTGCATACAGAGCATCAGATCATTTTTTCAAGCACTTCTGGTTTTCTACTAAAAGTTTTTTCAGTATTTGATATCCCTAAATCGCTTGAATTCCCTACACAAGTTCAAAAATGGAATGAGCGGCAATTGATTAAAGGGGACAGGTAGAGCTTAGCAGTAGTTTGTATTTGATATCCTTAAATCGCTTGAATTCCCTACACAAGTTCAGAAATGGAATGAGCGGCAATTGATTAGAGGGGACAGGTAGAGCTCAGCAGTAGTTCTTTTTTTTGGACTTTTAAGGAAGTAGATCCGGAATGTCGGTAGCTATCTGTTTGGACAGTAAGATGAGGGTAGGAAAACAGCTGGGAAGGTGGCTATCGCCAAGGAGTACTATGTGGCTCAGTTTGGTAAGTTAGACGGAGATAAAGATGGATATTCTGTTGCATGTAGGTCATTTTTTGTTCACAAGAAATTATTTCCAAAACGAAAAGCCATTGCTGAGAACAGTTTTGCATTGAAAAAGTTGTAGTTGAATAGAAGGACGGCAAATGAAAAGATTGAACGAAAAAATTTACACTTATCGTTTAATAGATCTTGTTTTCATTTAGCAGTATTATTGTTTGAAGCATTTTGTTTGATATTGTTTCTTGCTCAGACAGAGCTTTGTTCCTTTAAACTGCTGTTTATCGTTGTATCTGTAAAGATTTTTATGCACTTTTAGAATACAGATTAATATTGAATCATTTAATTTTCGATAAAAAGGTGAAGAAGCTATTCAGTTTTGCTTTGCTTATAAATAAAATCTTATCTTCTCAATAAACATTTCCTTGGTTCTCTTTGCTACCGTTACTAACAATTGAGCTAAAGAATCTTTTTGTTTTAGAATACAGTAGACGCTAAAAAGCTGGGAAGAAGGTAATCTATCCGATAATATCTTTTATTTTCAACTTCTTTGCTTACGAAACCCACTTCGTTTCTATCGGATAGAATTTTTCCGCTATTTTACCAGATTACCGCCGGTTTTGCTGGCATCTGATAGATAGCGTATCATAACTCCTACCGAAACTTTTTGGGATTCATGTGCTATTTGGTCTTTTGTTCATGGAAAGTTAGAGATGGCTCCAGCTTTGGCTTTATATTGGGATTTTCAGGAAAGGCATTACTTTAAAATTTGGACTTTGGAGAACTGGTTTGAGGCTTGGGATGAACTTTTTTTTTTTTTTGGTATTTAGACCTTGTTTCCAGTGCGATTTATGGTTAGGTAGTTACTTACGTAGGATCAAGCTATCCAGCGTTTATTTATTTTGTTTAATGGCTTTCCAAGTTAAGTAGGTTTAACCTTTGCCAATTGAAATAGCCATTTTTAGAGGACTTCAGCTATCAGCTATCTTGAAATGAAGTTTTTTATTTTCAGTAACAGTTACATGGTTACGAAGATATTTTAATTTTTTTCAATTCTAGGATACAAATGTTGATGCAAGTGAACATTGAAATTTTAATAACTAAGAGCAGTTGGAAATCGTTTCAGCTAATCGGGAAATGATAATACCGGTTTGGTGTTTGATCAGTCAATTCTTGCTTTGTAACAAACTAAAAGCCCTTTATTTTTTGGGGACTCACATTTATGGTTTGTTAAATAAGGTGTGTTGAATGACAGAGTATCGTGAAGCAGATGGTGTGAATCTTGTAGATGGAAATTTTGCCAGAAGAGCAAGTCTTGTAGTCTCTGCATGGACTAATTGTGTTTTTTTCAACTTTGCTTTCATCGTAATCAACACGCTTGATTAACTTTAAATGGGTGATGAGTTTTTTTAATTTATATATAATGTAGTAAATTGGATGTTCAGAAATTAGGAACTTGGGGTATTTACTAACCGCTTTATTTCCTTTTTTTTTTATTCTATTAGTTTACCATCATGGGATGTTTAATATTCTGTAATTTCGTGTCTAATTATTGTTTAGTATTTGTAGTTTTCGGGCTAAGCCTGCAACATTTCTATTCTTAAGATCATACTGGTTATGAGCTGGACTTTAACTGCTCAGTATCCTCAAAATTAAGATTTTTTATGAGTCTGTGGTAGTGCCAAATTTTTGTTTTGTTCACCCAGTCCATTACATTTATGAGAAAAAAACTTCTGCAGCCCAGTTAACGTTGGCAAAATTTTTGCAGTTTAGTACTGTGAAATTCCATTTTGATTTATTGAAACTGATGTTGAACTGTTTATCATATTTTCATTTGCTCGTGTATCATGTATCTAGAAATGTATCAAAAACCAAAAATTTGAACGCAGTTTTGCAAATGCCGTAGTCGAAACAATTTTGTTTCTTGTTTATGTAGTACAGAGATGAGTTAAGATGCTTTCTCCAAAGTAGTGTTATGATTTTTAATTATTTAATGAACTTTAAGAAAGATTGATATTTGTTTTCTTGGTTTTACAGTCAGTCATTGAAATGATGTTAACAGCGTTAAGTAAGATGAATAGGAAAGTGAAACAGTGTTTCAGTGCTTAAAATGTACGAATTTGTACTATAGTTGTAAAATTTTAAAAGCAATTGTCTGTTACTTTTTGAATTTGGCTAGTCAGTAGCTTTTGGGCGTTTTGATTATTGGTAAAACTTAGAATCTGAAATGTCTTTGACGATTTTTTTACTGTTTTTCCTTCCAGAGCGTTCTGTTTTTTTTAGCCGTCTTCAATTGCTTTTAACTTTGTTGACCTTTTAATACAGGAGGGTTTCCTGCTTCAAAAGGCAATCTGCTTCTGTTCTTTAGTTGTTTGTTTTTTTTCTGTTCTTTATCGTTTTAGTGGTTTCTTAGGTTTAATTTTTAATTTTTTATTTTTTATTTGAGTCTCTTGTTCAATTACCGCATATATTCCGCAAGAAAAGTAACTGTAAAAATTTAATTCTTTATACCTCAAAGAACAATTTTTTAACATCTGTACAAAATTTTTAGACTTTATTTGTAATAACCTTTTGAAGTAATTGAACTCGTAGTTAATCAGATTTTTGAAGATTATTTTTCAAAGAAGAAAGTTCTTACTATCTTTTTTTCAGCACAACATCAAATTTGAAGGCCGTTTTGTGATATATTGTCTGTTTGATTGGCAGAAATGGTTAGGTTGTTGCAAAGTGCAGCAGAAATTTTTATCGCCAAAAGAGTAATGGCTGTAGGAAAATCATATATTAATTGCAGACATTAGTCTACCAACCGAGATTTTCTATTTGATACCGAAGTTTTACTGTTATGTCTTCTCTGAGGGCACTTCATCAAAACTTTTGATGTATATATTTGTTTTTCTGTTCATTTTCTGTTTTGCTTTTTGTCCACAGCTATATGACTTTATTAGTGTAGGAATATTGATAGTTAAGTTTAAAGAGCAACTGATCTTTGGACTTTTGACTGTTAGCAAAAATTACAGCTATAAAGATATACAGTACAGTTGCGAACATTACTGATGTTTAACGAGAGCGAGAAAATGATCTATTTAACTTTTACAAATAAGTCTTTTGTTTACTGGTTTTTTTAGGCGCTATTTATTGCAGGAACTTAATTGTAATTTAAGTGGAAAATTTTTATTAGTCAGAAAAATTAAGTGTAAAATTTGCACAACTTTAGACAAGAGAAAAAAAAAAAGTTGTGAAATTTTGAAGCATTGGTTTGGTAATCATTTTTTGTATATTAGTGATTTTGTGTAAGAAATAGTTAACGTTTTGTTTCTTGTCTATTGGTTAGTTCACTTTTAGTTTGACAGCAGATTACAGCACAGATGTTTGATTTGTTGATGAAAAAAATTTGAAAGGAGCAAGCTAATTTTTTTATAGTTGTACTGTTAAGTGTTGCAGTCAAAATCTACACGCATTTAAGTGATTGGTGGAATCTGCAAAGTTTCTGCAGTTATTCTTGAGTGGGAATATTTAGTACGGTAGTGTGCAAAATCGGGTTTTTCTGATGCGTGAAAGGACTAACACTGCTGTAAACAATGCTGATTAGTTATCATCGTTACTGTAAATTTAGGGTAAAGTTGTTTGACTAATGACTTAATATTTTCCTGATATTTTTGTGCTTTGAATACTTGGAGAACAACCAAATCACTGTGTATCGCTGCTGGGTTTCTTTTCAGCATTATTTTTTTAAATAAATCTCTTCAATATGTTGTGCGGGGGTAAACTTCTGCAGAATCGGTA